AAACCCATTACTCATTAACGATTAACAATCTAATTTCAGACTCAGTATCAAAGTTAATAAGTTTTGTTATCTAAGAAGGTACACGTATTACCCTTTCCGACACTTCAGCACCAACTGATCCCTTGACATGATACTAATTGGACCCTGGAAATGAACTGATTTGCTTTTCGCTAAATGACCCTGTCAAAAATTGGCCTTAAGACATGAACAGATTTTTTTTTCACTAACTGATCTTTTAATATAAAATGATCTTTAGACGCAAACTGACCCTTGGACATGAACTGACCTTTTGATACTAATTCACCCAAACGACACTAGCTGACCCTTTGACACGTAATGATCTTTCGACACCCACTAACCCTCTGGGATAAACTGATCTCTTAACACAAACTAACCTCTTGACATGAACTAGCATAAATACCGACTGATACTTAGACACGATCTAACCTTTAGAGTTGGAGCTCGACGCCACATACAGCTGGAGGGTGAGGTGGACCCCCTCGAGGGCGGGCGGGGGTCTGAAGTGAAAGGACTCGTTGTACTGAGGCTCTTCGCACGCCGCCACCACAGTTGTTTTCTTCGTCTTGACCGCCCGACGCTGGTTCATGAGGGACACCTTCACCCACGACACCACCTCGCCGTCGTTTACCTGCGCGGGGAACGGTGGGGGTGAATAGGGGGTGTTTGTGGGGGGAGGGCGTGGGGGAAAGGGCGTGAGAGAGGGTGGTGGGGAAAAGAAGTGAGGGAGGGTGTGGGAGAGGGTATGGGAAAGGGCGTGGGAGAGGATGTGGGGGAAAGGGAGTGAGAGAGGGTGTGGGACAGGGTGTGGGGGAAAGGGAGTGAGGGAGGGTGTGGAGGAGGGAATGAAGATGGAGATGTGGGGAAAGGGAATGAGTGGGAGGTATTTGTGTTGCGTGGGGGAGGGCGTTGGAGGAGGGAGTGGGAGAATATGTGGGGGGGTGAGTGGGGGAGGGAGTGGGGTGTCTTTACAGCATATGAGAGTATGAAAAACCTGTTAAAGGAATATGGAATGTTTCGAGAGAGAGTGGGGTGTTTGCATGTGAGATAGTATGGAGTATTGCGTTGCATGTTGCATGGAAAATAGCATAGGGGATAGCACTGCTTGGGGGATAGTGTCATGTGTTTCTGATACAGGGGTGTGGTACAAAGTAAATAATTTCTGTTGGGGAAGTAAGTCGGGGCGTTTACTAAGCATGGGAATAGTATAGGGATGCTTGTGTTGCATTAGGGAGTGAGCGACAGTATTTGCGTTGCATGGGATGTGAGAATGGGGCGGCCGTCATGCACGCGTAGGGGAGGTAGTGGGGGTGTTCCCGGTGGATGGGGGAAGGGGTATGGGGGTTGTTGCGATAGATGGGGAGGGGAAGATTTCTGAATTGTTTTAGAGAAAAATATTTGATGTATATAAAGCGCAGTATGCTAATGAAGCTTACATTAGCAATAATGGTGATAAAAGTATGATAATATCCATGATTATCGGCTATAAAAACATATATAACGATTGACATCAAGGAACGGGATTCCGTAATGATAATTCTAAAAGCTAAATCATCATATTGGTTAACTCATCAAATATACAATAACTGTGATAAGATAACAAATAGAATATTTCTACAATAGCAGTTTAAATAGATGAGTAAGTAAAGGTATACACATGAGTGTTCCTTTCGGTTTACACTCGAAAAAATGTATAAAATATGCAACATATGATAATTAAGAAAAATTCATAATAATAATAATAATAATAATAATAATAATAATAATAATAATAATAATAATAATAATAATAATAATAATAATAATAATAATAACAATAATAATAATAATAATAATAGTACTACTACTACTACTAATCGTAATAAAAAAATAATGATAATGATAATAATAATAATAATAACAACAACAACAACAACAACAACAACAACATTAATAATAGTTATTATTATCATTATCATTATTAGTAGTATCATTCTATATCTATTGTCTTAATAAAAGCCAAGGCCAACGCCCTACCTTGATTCCCTTGGCCTGGAACACGGTGATGGACAGGCGGTGCAGGTTGTCGTTGAAGGTCAGGGACACGAGGATTTCTCCGAGGTCATTGTTGGGCACCGACTCGTCCTCCTGCGGGGAAGGGAGGTCAAAGCCGTGCGGATGGAAACGTTGTAGTTTTGCATACAGATACAGGCACGGATACAGACAGAGGCACAGACACGCACGTGTCATATGTATGTATGTATGTGTATATGTATATATGCATGCATGTATGCATGTATGTACGTATGTAAGTATGTATCTATGTCTGTCTGTCTGCATGTATGTATGTACGTATGCATGTATGTATGTATGTATGTCTTACAGTATGTATGTATGTATGTATGTATGTATTTATGTATATGCACGTATGTATGTATGTATGTATGTATGTATGTATGTATGTATGTATGTATGTATGTATGTATGTATGTATGTATGTATGTATGTATATGCACGTATGTATGTATGTATGTATGTATGTATGTATGTATGTATGTATGTATGTATGTGTGTATGTATGTATGTATGTATGTGTGTATGTATGTATGTATGTATGTATGTATGCATGTATGTTCGCACCAGTGTATGTAAAAGCCTAAGTACCACGAGAACACAGAATAGCCCCACGTACCCTGGACAGATCTCTGACGATGATGTTGTTGGTGGTGGAGCCGTTGGAGGCGGCCACGGCGGCGGCGGAGTCGGCGGGCACCTGCGCCAGGGGGTAGATCACGTGCCCGATGGCCGCCTGCCGCTTGTGTCTGCCGCCGTCGAACACGCTCACCCGGAGGCTGCGCTCGCTCACGCACCGAAGAGGGATCTGTGTCCGGGGGAGAGGAGGTAGATTTGGAGTCGTGAGCTATATATTTCTCTTCAAGTTGTTTAGAGTAATTTTTGTAGCGGAGAACGTATAAACCATTAACTACACTTATTGTACAGTTTACACAAACGGCTGTTTCACTGTACTTTTAACGGATATTGTTTACTTATTACCAAAAAAAAAAAATTATGGAAGGTAACGAGCGGAGGGACCACTCACATTACTTTAGTTTCCCATTTAAATAATAGAGAATGTTACAATTAGGAAACAACAACCACAAAAAACTCTCAGGGGATAACTTCTCTATATTACTTATCCTTAAATTACTTTAAAAAAATAGTCATTGCGTCACAGTATCATGGCCATATTAATAGCAATATGATTTAGCATCCACTAATTTTCATTTTCGCTCACCCTTCTTCAAAAACACGGCAATTAAAACACACAACAAGAGGCATTGATAATAAAGATAATTACATCTATTATCAGCAAGCCAGACAGCATTTGAGTATTCATGACTGCACTTACGTGGAACCCGAAGTGCTCATCGAAAACAGGGTTACAAGTCTTCTTCTTTTGCTTCGTTTGCAGGTAACGTCGCTCGTCAGGGAGTACACTTAGTCTGGAACAATATGTTATAGTTAGTCATTCTTATCCCTTTCCATTCTTTTCATTATAGGGAGAAGGGTTGAGGTATTTCTATCAGAGGAAAACCAAGGCGACAGGGCAAAGAGGATCACGCTTTGATGTCTGACAAGGACAGTGAATTTCTTCTAAAAGTATACATTGGTACAACGGATACTTATGACTTGTGGAAGTTTAGTGCAAATGAACAAACGTCTGAGGTATTCGTCTTTGGATAAAAATGCGAACAAAGGAAGAAGAAAAATTCTCTCTCTCTCTCTCTCTCTCTCTCTCTCTCTCTCTCTCTCTCTCTCTCTCTCTCATTCTCTCTCTTTCTCTCTCTCTCTTAATCACTCTCTCTCTCTCTCTCTCTCTCTCTCTCTCTCTCTCTCTCTCTCTCTCTCTCTCTCTCTCTCTGAGTCTAGCCGCCGCGGTGAACGGACGTGTTTTTGCTTCCTCTCCGCCGCCGCGTAACACCTCAGCAAACCATGGCATCTCATGGTCCCGCACAGTCAGAGGGAAATCTGACTACCCTCCCCGGGTCACAGGGGGCTAGCCAGGGAGCTTCCCCGGTGCTTTCTCGGGCAGCTAGCTCGAGCTCTAATCCCCAGAGTGAAAGGGGACCCTCGGCCGAGGGTTTCGTGCCCCCTTCCCAGGGTGATGGGACCTCCGCCCTAGGATACGGGCCCCCCGGCAGCGCGGGTCAAAGCTGCCCCCTCGCCCATGACGATGGGCACCCCCATGGCAGCCAGGGTCAAGGCTGCCCCCCCGCCCAGGGCAAAGGGCGACTCAACCCCAGCAGCCCTATCAGAAATTTCAACGAAACCAGCAATTCCAGTGATATCAGTGAGAACAATGAAGAAACAAACCAGATAAATGGAAACAGTGAATACAGCGCAGACAGAAAAGCTATCTATCAGGTAGGCAGCATAACTATAGTGCTAAACACGATCCTATGCTTTATTGCAACCAAAAAAGCATGGGCTCGGATGGTTCTGTGTGATCAAATCAGGAAACTGTACAGCCCGGATGAGATCGAAAATGCCTATAATATCATTCTACATATATCAGACTCTAGAAGAACAAGAAATATAACTAAAGACATTAAAAGAATGACAAACTCCATAGTGCATACCATGATCGATCAGTGTTTAAAAAAGGACAACATAGTGTTTGCTACAACAACGACAGACACTCCCGCCACTGACTGGTCTCCACCACCAAAGAAAACAGGTATCACTACACCTTTTGTAAAAATCTTTCAAAAACCAAAACACCAAAATACACAAACACAACACGAACCCTCCTTGGTCAATCAAGATCTTATTGAAAATAAAATTGATTTGCTAATCGGAATGTTCTCCGAACAACAATCAGCAATTAACAGTCTAATCCGCCAAGGCGCGATGCCTTCTCAGCCGCAGGAATGCGGAAAGGAAGCTTCCGTCACAACATCCTCGACCCACCCCATCACGCAATATCCGATCTCCCAACCCCTGCCCACGATCAATCTGCCTACCAATCCTTCCCTTTCGCATCCCCTCCCCCCGGCAGAACCACATCTACCTCTACACCACAAAACAAACACACTCCTACACCTTCCACGCCAGTACCAACGACCAACGCCTCTCCTAGCTCCCCTCCATCACCACCACCCTCCCCCGACACTCCGTCCCCTCAACCCACTCCCTCTGTACCCACTCCGACCCAGCAGACTCACGACCTTGCTGACGCGCCTCGTCCGGAGCCACGCAAGCGTCTGACCAAAAACAACGCTGACACGTCCGAAACCGGTATGAGGAACGAAGCCTCTACACAAGTCACACCTAGAAGAAGCTACGTCAGAAACAGTAAAAAGAAAAACAAGCAAAAACATCTTCCACCAAATCGCCAATGGGAAGATGCGACACACCACCACGTGCCTGGTGTACCTGCCCCCCCTACTACCCCTCTTGCTCCACAAGCGCCACAGCTCGTAATCAACAACTACGCGGAAGGAGCGGAAACACAGAGGCAAACAAACGAGCAGCCGCAGCAACATCAAGATGCGGAAGGATTCGTTCAAGTAAACTCAAGAAAACATAAAAGAAAAACAAGGGAGGAACGTCACTCGCCAAAACCCTTGCAAGGTGCCGACCGTCCTCAGGTAGTGTACCTATATATTACGAGTTGCCACCCAGAAACAGTTGAAGACGACATTGAAGACTTCCTCGAAAATAATTTCAATCAAATTTCAAATGTCAAAGCTTTCAAAACAAAAATGTCGCATAATTACTACTCAAGTTTCACAGTCACTATTAGGGGCAAAGACATAAACCCAGATCTGTTCTTAGAGTCAGACGTCTTTCCCAACAATGTAAAGGTATTTCTAAATAGAAACAAGTACAAAGGCGAGCAGAATGTTTGACGTTGCAAATCCGGCCGTCAAATCATCAAACACCATCAAAATTGAACACATCAATGCACAGTCCCTCCTCGGTCATTTCGAAGAAATCAAATTGATAATTAAGGAGAGAAATATTGATATTTTGTGTATTAGCGAAACTTGGCTTCACCAAGAAATACCATGCAGTTTCATCAGCATCCCAAACTTCCATGTTTACAGATGTGATGCAGGACGTGGAGGTGGAGTATGCATATATGTAAGCGATACCCTTAAATCAAAAAAGATCTCCTCTGCAACTGTAAATCATACAGCAGTAGAGGACATCTGGGTAACCGTACAAAGCGATATGCATCCCTCCTTCCTCGTCGGCACAATCTACAGACACCCTCATGCCACCACAGACTCTTTTGACTACCTAGAAAATATTTTCGGAGAAATGTCAATAAAGCGAAAACCACTTTTCATCTTAGGTGATTTAAATGACGATCTAAATAAACCTAATGCAAAATTAAATGGGATAATTAACAAAAACAAATTAAAACAACTTATAAAGAAGCCTACAAGGATTACAGAAAGCACTTCATCCTTATTAGATGTTATAATAACAAACAGACCCGATATTACACTACACACAGACGCTGTCCCTTGCCACATTGCTGATCACGAGCTGTTAACCATGACTTTAAATATAGAAAAAACAAAGCGAAAACCAGTCATTAAAACCTCTCGCGACCTAACGCACTACGATCCTCAGTTACTCTGCCAATATATTACAGCCAACGACTCGTCACTGTCAGAGATCTTAACAACTGATGACGTTGATAAACAAGTTAACATTCTTACAAACGTGATAAAGAACGGCATCGATGCCTGCGCTCCTTTTAAAACAAAAACAGTAAGTCGTCCTCCCGCCCCTTGGATAAATGACAACATTAAGAGGGCCATAAATGATAGAAATAATACTCACAAAGCTCTCAAGATAAACAGATTTGACACCACCCTTCGGGCTGAATACAAACAAAAGAAGAAAAATGTGAAAACACTCCTCCATGGGGCGAAAACCAATTATTTTAAAAACAAGTTCAATGAATGCAGAAGCGATTCTGCCGGGACGTGGAAACTAGTAAATACATTAGTGCCTAAGAAGAAACAAAACACAGACACTTCCCAAAATTCCATAAATAATATAGAACATTTCAATAACTTCTTTGCAGAAATAGGCAGACGCACTTTTGAACAGACAACCGCCCCCACATATCAACACAACATAAACGAAATGAATACTACAACAAACTTTTTCAGACCGCAACCAGTTGGAGTAGAAACAATCATCTTGACAATAAAACACTTAAGAAAGACAAATTCCGTGGGAGCAGATGGAATTGCACATCGTTTCATAAACGATAGTTTACCAGCAATTGCTTACTATCTGACAGTAATCATTAATACATCTATAGTTACTGGAGTTTATCCATCACTTTGGAAACACGGCATCATAACTCCTATTTTCAAATCCGGTGACAGAGACGAAATTAATAATTATCGACCCATCACTATACTGCCAGTAATATCTAAAGTTCTCGAGAAAATAGTTGCAAACCAATTAACAACA